ATCCCTAATATTCTATCTTGTTATCATCCTCTTTATTTTTATTTTCTTTTTTGTGATGCCCACACGTGTACCAAACATTGAAGGGGTTTCACCCTTTTCGAATTCGCATATGAAGCCGCGGGATACATCGATATATTTATTCTTCCCATCACTTTTAATTTCATAACAGACAATGTAACAGCCCCGCTGTGCCCATCAGCCATTTGTCCAGGGTATGAAATGTATACACCCAATTGACGAGTGTTATCGCCATTGGATCTGCGGGTCTTATTAATCGGTGAGAGTTTAAAAAAAATTGAGTAGAAAAAAAAAATCTAGAGCAGTGCGGAATAGCAGGTTGGGATTTCCATTGAAATTGATTCGTCATTTTTGAAAGCTGGCGATTGGATATATATTGACTTGGAACAATCATACAATCACTCCGCAGGCATTGTAATTAATTTTCGCCAGTTTCCACATTTACCTTTAGCTTGTGCCAATAGAAAGGGGTGGTATTAATTCATTAACCATTTCGCTACTGGGTAACGTATTTGCCCGTAAAATTGACACCCCTTAGGGCCTTTCGAATTGTCGACATTTCCTGAACAACGATTATTTACTCAAACAATTCTCCCTGCTGGAGCGAATAACTGTGGTATGAGGTCACTCCAATGTTGTGTCAATACGTCGAATAGAGAGTGATTGGAAAATTTCGTCATCTTTCCCCGGATGTTTATCGATCGGTCCAATTACCTTTTTATAATTTGCTTTTTTATTTATGATCGTTTAAGGAATTCTTTGCTGATGTTTCCGGTGAAAACCTCATCAGTTTGCAACAAGTAGCATTTTCTATCAATTTTTCCGAATTTTTTTACTTGATAACAAATTCACTGGAATTCACAGGAAATTACTTTGAAGTTATACAATTCCGGTAATTATTGTAGAATTCGTCGGAAATTTAACGGTTAATATTTTTTTCAGTTGATAATTCATGTAAATTTTGGATTTTCTTATTCTTAATAACCGGAATTTGAAAATATAAATTGAATAAAAATATGAATTGAACAGAAATGTGAATTCTTCACATAAACCTGTAAAAATTGAATAACAAAAAAAAATCGTAATCGAAAAGGAACGATAAAAAAATAAACAATGAAAGCAACGAAAAATTTAAGATTCACGAAATCATCGTTTATTCTTCGATAAACGATGAGAATTTATGGCAAGTGTCAGAGATATTGCAATTCTCTCTACAATCTCGACAATCCTCATTCCCAATTTGTTAATTACACGACGCGAACGGATGAGCCAAAACCATGGGTCAACCGCAATTTGCGTGGCACGAGAGCGCGTACTGTGGTTTACCACATTACTCGGTTACTACTGTACCACCGCAGTAAATTCACACACAACCCGAAATTCACGTCAAATTTACCATGTAAACATCCGGCTGAATGAGTCAATTGCAATCGCGGCCATTTTTCGAAGTAATTATTAAAAGTTGACTCGACAATCGCAAAGATCACTGAGAAAAAAAAAATTACTCACACAAAATGAATTGACTTATGCCGAATAAAATTAATTTTTTATCGCGACTATCGCGAATTTGATATCGCATTGTAAATCGAATATAGTAGAGATACTTTTTTGATCCTATGGACGTACAATGGTAATTTTTATTGTTTAATTATGGTCGTGTAATTTTGAACATGAATTTCGCACCGAGATGTCATTGCTTTGTATTTGGTATTTTTACGTGCGTCGATGTTCGACAGGGATAAATGACAGGTTTTATTGGCTCGATTCAGCGGTGACCTACGACCGGCAACAGTTAATCAATGCTTTTATGAGCATTCACTCGGCTAGTGTCCAGCCACCACCCACAGTCCGACAAATATAGCCCCCATTCTGGAGCAAATGTTCGCTAGAGACATTAGCTGGTGAGTTTCTCATTTCGAGCGCAATTAATTCGCTTTTGTCACCCATTTATTTTTCCGACAAAATGTCTCCTTTTTCTTACGCGAGACCGAGGGCGTGTTCAATTATAAAAATCATGATAGAAAATTTCAAAATTAAATGAGTTTTCAATTCAAATTAGCCGCCGAAGACAATTCAACCAATGAGAATCAGCGTGACTGTTTCGAGATATCGATAGTCTCGATGTTTGTACATTTGTATAGGATCTTTGTCAGCGGAAGTCGTTCTTTTACGATATATTTAAATCCTAAAAATTATAGGAGAGAAATGTATAAAAAAATTACCCCGTAATTTGAGTAATTGCGTAATTTATCGGTTTTCTGTGATAAATTACGTGGAATTGGGGTAAAGTATGTCTGAACTATCAAACATTTTTGTCTCAATTTTTACGGTTGAGTCCCGCAAAAATCTAATTCTAATACAAGCACATGGCAATCTCTGAAATAATTTTTTTTTATCGGGATCGATTTTATCAACGGACTGCGGGAGAATAAATAGTCATTTCCATAGACATCCGTGCGAATGAATCAGTATTTTAATACTCGAGAATTTGTCAACGATCGGGTTTGTGTTTACATCGATTGCCCTCTTGTTTTCACAGTGAACGACCTCCGAATAAAAAATTTCTAAGTGCGCAGAATAAAATTGAAATGAGCGATCCCACGATTTCAGAGATTGTCATGTGTTAGCGTGAGAATTTAATTTCAGGGGGATTCAGCCTTGAAAATTAAGACAAAAATTTTTATTAGTCCCTACCACTGTACCTTGTACCCCAATTTTCTGGAAAATTGCAGTAAAGCAATAAATTACGCAATTACTAAAATTAAGGGGTAATTTTTTATACATTCCTCTCTCCTGTTCTTTTTTGGATTTAAAGAATTGAATTCTACTGGAAGTATATAAAAATAGTAATTATCGCGTAAAAATAATGGTTTTCCGCGAAATTTCGAAACTGGCGAATTTGACGTCTCTATCCCTAAGATCATCAACAAAAACCGAGTGAAATTGTCTGATTTACCGACAGAACAGAATTCTTTGTGTGCGATGGGGTCATGGAGTTGGGCAGTAAAACCATAACACTGTTACCAAAATGAAGAGGTTTAATGCGAGAGGGCCGAATCCCCTAGCTCCCCATTCTTTCAACATTTTCATTTTTTTATTTCACCAACTTGTGCTTCACCGGTTCTCTCGTAAAAACAATCAAGCCCGCGCGTCAACACTCCAGACTTAAAAAAAATCCTGATTGTGACTGATGAGGAGGAGAGGGCGAGTGTGTTGATATAGCGAATTTATTGTTTTGCAGAGCAATTCTGTGGGAACAAAATGATTTTACACCCCTTGGACCGATAAACCGTGAATTCTAACCGAACAACGCGATTCTCTGTTCTTAGAACATAAAATAAATTCTAATAGCGTCACTCAATTATAAACAAAATCGCGATCATCTGAATTAAGCGACAAAAATTCATCGAGTTTGACGAAATAAATTCTAAAAATCAACACTTATGCATATCTCCTCAATACGTCCAATTGAAAATAACACCGAGTGCTGCAAACATTCAAAAACTTCACTTTTTAATTTACAAAAATATATTCCACGACACCTCCACCCCGAGTTAAATAACTCTCAATTCCTCAACTCATCCTATCAAAATACATGAAAATATTTTCCATAAAATAATTTCTCTCCGCAAATCCTGTACACTTGCCACATACACGCGTTTCAGGATTAAAGAGTGCGTCCAGGAGCCAGCGGGGACATACAACCCCTGCATTTGTTATGCGTAAAACTGAGCAGAAACATGCTCTTTATTTTAATTACCACATAAAACGATAAACAATGCCCGCAGATGCTCCACAACCGCGGGATTATGCGACGGCTGTGGAGACCCCCAGCGTTACT